CACTCGAAATATTAAAGGAAATGATTCCAGATGAAAACTCAAATCTACACGAAATAATGAAAAGTGCTAGAAATGGTAAATATGTGGGTAAATATAAGACTACGCTCCAAGTTATAAAAAAATCTCTTTAACACATAAACTGTTTAAAGCCAAAATTAATAATGTAGTCGAGGATTCATAACACATGAAAACAATAAAATGTATGACAAAAGCACAACGGACAGGAGGGGGGCAAAATGTAAACAGGTTCTTACAATTGCAAATGAAGTGGTATATTACACAATGGTAGACTATAATAAAGTAAATACGCATATTGCAAACCTTAAATAGAGGTTCTCAGGCTTTTAGGTCTCAGTATAACTTTGCACTCTTCAAATACTGAAAACCTCCAAAGAGCTTTTGTTCATATAAGCTTTTGTTCATATTAAAATTTACCATATTAAGTTCAAACTGAAAAAAGTATTTTAAAACAGCATTAACAAACCCATTATTTTAGTATCAATAATTTTTTTTGTGGGAAAAAACCTTTATTTTCCAAAATTAAAGAAATTAAGTAAGAGTAGCACAGGTTTACATTTTAGGAATCTCTCTAATGTCAGGCTTAACAGAAGACAGCTGGAGTCTCATTTCCTTCTGCCTTCAACCATGTCACATACCCCTCTGGAAAATTCCATGGCATACTTGTGAATAAATGAGAGTGACAAGGGAATATAGTGTTCTAGTATTATAAAAATAATTTTGACCTCATGGCTCCCTTGTAAGGGTTTTGGAATCCCCAGAGGTTCCCATACCATACTTTGATGCGCTAAGCATTCCCCAGAGCAACAAATAAACAAGTAAAACAAAAAGATATGGCTAATAAGTTAGTAGAAAAGATGAAATAGAATATTTGGGGGGAAATCTAAATTAATGCAAAATAAAGCAGGAAAATAAAAACAAAAGGCAGATGAAAAATTAGAAAACAAACAGTAAAAGAGTAGATCTTGCACCCAACTTTATTGACACATTTACTAAATGTCAACAGATCAAATAAGTACCCCAAATGAAAGGCAGACACTGTTAGAGTCATGGACAGTAAAAAGGTATGTTACAAAACCACCCATAAGGCACGAATTGCTTTGCATAGGTGCTTGAAGATTCCTCTATCTGCAGTCTCATTCTGAATTTTAGGATTTACAGACGTAAGCCATGGACATAAGCACTGTAGAAATCAGTGAGTTAGCCATCTTTCTTTCCTAATAGATCATTCAAATATTTTATGAAGTATTTCTGTTTCAAAATGATAAGCGAAATAGACTTCTTTCTTTTGTTCTTGATAGGGGAAGAAACCAAAGCTAAAATTTATCTATTAACAACTTCTTGAATATTTACTTGTGAAGAGTTTCATATATAGTTTATTCTCCTCTGAGGAGATTTTGAAAATTCTCGTAAGAAAACTCTCATAAATGGCAGAAAGTGCTCTTCACTAAGTAATGAAAACATTCCTCAAGTCAGGTAGTTCACACTATCATTGCCAACACAGAGATTTCTGTTGAAGGTGCTGATCAGCCCTCTCCCAGCTTCCATGGGTCCATAGCACTTGGGTGGATTTCACAAATACCTTCTTTCACCTTCTATGATAACTGACCAAAACAATGCCAAAATCTTGCTCACTATTCATACTTAAAGATCATCAAAACCGTATTTCGTAAGAGCTAAGGGGTGACTCAACTTCTGGCTACAGAGAAACTAATCTCATCAATTCTGTATGTGAATCACTGACTGAAAATCAAGGCCCATTAACACAGGAGTCTCAGTACCTTCCTGTGACCAGGTTTACTGTTTGAGCAGTGAGAGCCCAGGTCACACTACTATCATCCCTTACCCTAACCAACAGCATAGTGCTTTACACAGGACTGCAACAATCACTGAGCTGCTCTTCTTAAAACAATTTCCAGATTTGACTCTTGTCTTGATTTACATAGAGAGAAGTGGAATCAAAGACTGTGAAAATCCTGATCCCATCAATTAAGCCACAGAATCCAGCCAGATCTAAAGCCAATACTATTCCTGACTTCCAAGTTATACAAGCCAGTATGTCTCTTTTTATGTTTATGCTAGTTTAAGTTGGAATTTTTTTTACCTTAAAAGCATTTGCAAATACAAAGGTATAATATTAAATGTGCCATAAATAATACAAGAAAGTGTTTTAAGTGAAGAATTAAGGGAGAAAAAGTTTAGACAAAAGCAAATGGCCATAGAAAGATAATTTGTTTTCCTTTCTTCTGAATTGTATGGCAAGAATGTTTTGAACTGGTTACCAAAGGTGTCATTTACATAATATCAAGTGTTAAGTATTAAGTGTAAAACTTTCTCAAATTAATTTTTATCTTCTGCTCAGGTAGAAATGGTACAACCATTTCATAGACAGGTCAAACCTTAAGAAGTTATAAGTCTTGCTTTGGTTTGATTATGATTCTGTTTTGGGAGAGAAAATATCATTACCTTTAACTATTTGTTCACAATAGAAAACACACTGGCAGCTAAATTACTTTGTGTGCTCCCATTATTATTATTATTTGAACTCCAGAAAGAACTTACTTATGTATTTGTTATTATAGCAAAGAATAATAATGGAAAAGTTTCCCCCACTCTTCTCTGAAAACTGAATGAAAGCTGACACCATGGAATCTCCATTAGAAATTTTACTCTATAATCCCCCTGAGGCAGTTAACAGTAGTAGGAGGAATGTTTCCTATTTATAATTTCTCACTCTCCTTTACAAATGTACCAACAACCCTCCAACATACAAGAGCGTATCAATATAATATATCAGAGTTATTTTTGAATTAAGCATTGGATTTAGTTCAGTGCTGTCCCATCCTAGGATATATTATATTTGCTTTTGCAGACCCCTGAATGGACTCCTTGTTGTTTGCTGCTTAATATTCCTGAAGTAATTTGATGATAACTGAAACAAATGTCAGGAAGCTAGTCTTAAAGAGATGATAGAGAAAGGCTGCACTATGTGACTGGTTTGAGAAAATTCTAGTTCTCTAACAGGTACACAGTACAGTTAAAGTCCCTCAGTCAAACAACTTTCTCCTTTAAGTGCAAAATGTGACTTTTAAACTTTAGTTTGTCCTAGTAAAGCAACTGAAGCACAACTTGGGAAACATAATACATGCTCACCTATTAAACCGAAAGTTATAGTATATATTTTAAATATATTGTTCTTCCAGAAGCCTATTACCAGATTTCAAAAACAGGATTAAAAATACATAGGAATCTTTGTGGTCTGTTTAAATAGTGCTAATGAGTGGTATAGAAATCTGAAAATATTTGTCCCTTATAGTAAGCTGACATTGTAACAGGCACCAAGGAATAGTTTCTCATTAGACACTGTGGAAATCCCACTGTTTTAATTACTCCCAAGTGGAATTTCATCTTGGGACTCATCTCTTATTATTTTCACTACACAATGAAAACAAAAATTATCATTTTTAATTGGTGATTTACTCCCCAAAGTAGAGATTGTGTAAGAAAACACTTCTCTTTAGCCACAGAAAGCTATTTTTTTTCTTCTGAAATTTCTCAAGCATAGTCAAGTTATAGTCACAAAATTCTGACCGTTTATCCTGTCTCAAGTCTGGCCCTTCAGTTTCAAAGACTTTCACAACTTAAGCAAGCAGTAAGAACTTTCAATTTTACAATTCATGAATGGGATAGATACATCCCTACACAGTCCACCTGTGGACTTTAAACCTAACTACTCTCAACTTTTAAATCTGATCAACCAAACCAACAGTTTCTTTGCCATCTATTAACAACAAAAAATCAACTCTAATCCTTACTTTGAATCCTTACACATTCACTTAATGCTCTTTCACTCCAGTTCCTTCCTTTCCTCTCCTACCTCTATCCACTGATTTAACTAGCTAAGTATCTCTTCTTATTTTCAAAATAAAAAAAAACTACTATTCAGATCTAAGAAAACAGATATATTGTCTTTGACTTCACTCAAGACACTTCATGCGTGAAGACAGTGGGTCCTGCTCCAAGCGGAAAGGGCTTAAAAAAAAAATCTGTTAATTCAATCATGGACGCACACTGATTTGCATGCCCCCTAATCCCAACTACTCCCTCTCTTTTGCCTTATTTGTTCAAAAGTAATATTCCCATAGTAAAGTATCTTGGTCTCAAATCTTTAAGAAAAAAAGGGAGCAGTTATACTCCTGTGGTGAGGTTTTACTGTAACCAGTTTTAACTTCTTTCCAGAACCATCAATCTCAAAATGGCAGGACATTAAACCACACTATCTAAGAAATAAGAAAGACTTCAGTTAAAGAGCCTAAAAATATTTAAAAAGCAGCATAGCATTAAGAATACAGTAATCCACAGGGAAAGAGCTATGATACATTAAAGGAAGTTACAGTGGAATATGAATACTACAATTTTATTTGTGTTTAAAATGTAAACAAACAAACAAACAAAAAACCCAAAAAAACTCTATGTGTTTTCCATAAGGTCTGGAAGAATATACACCAAAACAAGGTTTTGCAACTTTGCCACTATGGACATTTCGAGTCAGCACTTTGTTGTTGGGGGGCTGCCTGTGCATTGTAAAATGTTTAGCAGCTTCCCTGGCCTCTACCTATGAGAAGCCAGTAGCATTCTCTCAGTTGTAAAAACAAAAAAATCTCTATATATATCATCAGATATCTCCTGAGGAGCCAAATTGCTCCTGGTTGAGAACTCCTGCACTAAAAGGTGAACAGTGTTTATCTCCAAAGAGGAAAGTATGATGAAAGGGGACCAACTGAATAGAAATTCAGGGCTTTTATTTTTTGTTCTGTATAGTTTGGATGTCCTACCACCCCTAAGCACTTGTTACATGCCTAAATTCTCCAGAATAATAAATAAAATAAAATTCCAAGGCCATCTGGCTACTGGCCATACAAAATGACAGGATATAGACTCCCCAAATGATCAGGAAACATATCTGTTTAAGTCACACTCACCTTCATGGGATTTTCATCATATGTTGGGGTTCCCAGGTCCATTTCAGCTTCATGCTCAAGGCTGGCATCATCTCCTGGGCTTTCCCAAGTAGGAGGATCCCACTGAGTCTGCCTAGAAAAAGGTAAGAACAACCGTGCTGTTATGGCCAGAAAACAGAACGCTGGCATAGGTATTTCTGCTCATATACACATAAAATACAACATGAAGTGAGACACAGAACAAGACAAAAGACATAGACATTTTTGGTTATCTTTCCAGCAGCAATGATTCTATCCCAGAGATATAACTGTTTAGCCCACTGTATTTCTGTAACCAATGTTGTGGCAACATCTGCTGGGTGTCAAAGAAAACAGTAAAACTAAACATCCTGGTCTCTCACCTGGCTCTTACTGTCCTGAAACAGGATTCAGCAAAGCCTAAAAAAAGTCCATGGAGTAGGTACCAGCCTATGCCACCCCTCTGCAGGTGAAGAGATCGATCATGGTTGTAACCTAGCATATACTTGGAGCAAAATAAAATAAAATAACAAACCACACTCCTCACAATCCTTGATCATATGAGAAAACTGTTTCTTGTTTTAGGAGCCTTCTTGTTTGTAGTTGTGCCCCTCTGGTTTGACGACTGACAGCATGGAAAAGAGACACAAGTTAAAAACTTGTGCCCTCTGCTAAAAATATTCTCAACTGACTACAAAAAAGTGTTCAATAATTTTTTTTTTTAAAGCTAGATCTGTGAAGTAACAAGTGGAAGTAAGGAAATTCATACTCGGGAGTTGGAAGTCAGCTGTCACAGGGAATGCTCTATCATTTAAAATGTCAAAGCCTCCAAGAAACTAGCAACATATCTGATAGGTCAACCTTGCCATTACACTCTTCTGCTTTCCTCCCACAGCAATCTTCAGGCGGCAACATTAAAGGCATCTGATGCAAGTCAGTTTTGCAGATGTTTATGAAAACAGGCTTATCTCTGACTGATGGAACTAACTAAAAAATGGGCTCAAGATTTCTACTGTAATCAAAGAACCACAAGCAGCTGTGGGTTTTATTATGAGAAGTGAACAGAGAGGGACGTATTAAGCTCTTAGGTGCTGGCTAAGCAAAACCTACAAAAAAGGAAAAAGCACACACATAAATGAGAAATACAATCTTATTTATTCTTGGAAAAGTGATTAGAAAGCTTGCTATGGTACTGAAAAAACAAAATTCTGGTAAAATTTGCAGACATTGCTTTTTAAAAATCACTACGTTTTTAGCCATCATAACAAGGTCTTGTTCATGAAGGTATTTTTACTGAAATAAGGAAGACATTTCTAAGTAGAATACATAAAGGGAAAACATCTGACTGCATGACAATTTTAATTTCTTTAAGTCACAAGACATTACAAACAAAAACATCTGCAATACTCTTGATAAAGAGATCTAACAGTGCTGACAGAAAATGGGTAGATGCCCCAAACAAGCAATTCACAAAAGACACAAATGGCCAACAATCTAATGAAGACATTCCATCTCAACAATAAAAGGACTGAAAATGAAAATAAGACTTCTCACCTACTAGTCTTAAAAGAGTTAAAAAACCTATGTGAAGACAAAGGCACTTTTGTATACCTTTTTGAGAGGTCTAAATTGGCATAATTTTTTAAAAAATGGTAAGCTGATAATAATTATCAATTTAAAATGTGTCTCTTTTGACTAAATATTCCATTTCTAGGAATCTACCTAAAGAAGGTAGTAAGATTAGTATTAGTGTCTGTAAGGATGACTAGGTTTAGAGTTATATTTAAAATACTGAAAATCCACCAATCAGGGTGGGCTTAAATAAAATTTGGTATAACCATACAAGAGAGCAGGGGTTGGGCAAACTTATTCTACAAAGGATCAGAGAGTAAATATATTTGACATTTTGGGCCAAATGGTCTCTTCCACAACTAGCCTACTCTGTCATTGGATTATAAAAGCAGCAATAAAGAATTCCTAAATAAATGGTGGTGGTTGTGTTCCCAAAATATTTTACTTACAAAAACAAGTGGCCCATAGGCATGACCCCTGTAACAAATAAGCATTAAAAATAATGTACTTTTATATTAACTGATAAAGTTCTATAAATAGATTGGTACATAAAGTAGATGACAAAACATGCACCCCAATACACATACACAGAAAGCACACATAGTCACATAAAGCTATCTGCCTAAAAGATATTTTTGAAAAAATTCTAAGAAAAAGCTATATCAGGTTTTTAATATATAGCAGGAGTCATCAAACTATGGCTCATGAACCAGATCTGATCCACTGACTATTTTTGTAAACGAAGTTTCACTGGAACGTGGACATGCCTATTCATTTATGTATGGCAGCTTACATAGCAATAGCAGAATTGAATAGTTGTGACAAGAACTATTTGACAAGTAAAGCCTAATATATTTATTATCTGGCCTTTTGCAGAAAAGGTTTGCCCACGACCCCTGATATCTACAACATTAGATGAAGTCATTGCCATTCTTCAAAAACACCTTAGTTTTCTCCAAAACAGTCTTGCAAATTAAAGGCACACCTAAACATATTCAAAAAAGATCAAAGTCTAAGGTATGACATAACATTTAAAATGTGATTCTGGAAATCCAGCAGCCCTCGAGCTCAGTGAACAACTAGTAAAAACAAGTCTATGACCATAAAACTCTCCTTATGGTGGCAGCTTCTTCGACCAACTGAAAGCTGACTTGGGGATGCCCACATAGCCCTTCCTACCTTGTGATCACATGGTAGTAGTAAATCTTCCCTTCTGGGTCTCGGGCTGTCTTCCAGTTGGGAGGTAAGACAATGGTTTTTGGTTTGGGAGGAGATGGTGGTGGTAGATCCAGGAGATTATTTGTCACAACCATTTCAGGCTAAAAAGAAAGATACACACACACACACACAAATTCTTGATCAGTGACATCTCTTTTAATTTGGCTGAAAAGGATAAAAACAGCCTACTTAAGCAATATGTAAAAACATATATCAACTTTTTTTTTTTTAAAGATAAACTGTACCTTTGTATAACCTGGGAAATGGTCAGAGACAGCGTGTATGATGAGCTTTAGGGATCTATCAGAAAATTGACAGTAGGCTACAAGTTCACCATCCAACAATTCACATTTTAAAATATTCAGCAGCTCATTATCTAAAGTAGTATTTTTCAGCCTTAAAAAAACCAATGCCAAATGGCATATAACTTCAGGATACTGATTAGCTGAATGGCTTTAGATATAAACAAATATGACAGAATGTTAACATTTATCCATTGTATTTTTTCTGTACTTTTATATATGCTTGGAACCTCATATTTATATTTAAAAATACAGAAATGGATGAACACGATTTATTAGTTTAAATACACTGGAAAATAATTTCTTAAACAGTTTAAAAAAATTGAATGCCACATTTTGAAAAACAAAAACCTTATAATCATTGCTACAGATTGAATTATGTTTCCCCAAAATTCCTAATGTTGATGCCCTAACCCCCAAAGTGACTGTACTTGGAGACAAGACCTTTAAACAGGTAATTAATGCCTTGATCTTAGACTTAGCCTCCAGAACTATGAGAAAATAAATTTCTGTTGTTTAAGCCACCTAGTCTGTGGTATTTTGTTAAAGCAGCTCTAGTAAACTGGTAATATAATCACCATAAGGATATATACTCTTAATTGTTTGTTCTATGTAAGCCAATTAATAAAGAAAAAATTTTCCAAATTTACTCGAACAGTTAAGAGGAACCTGAGATCCCAGGCTCAGATAACACATAGCCACTTTTAAGCAAACACCAGTCTTCCAGCATCACTGCTTTGTGAATAACCCCAATCCCTACTTCACATAGCTGCTTTTTTTTAGAACCTGCTTAAGTTCCACTTCCTCCCTTCCTGTAGTCCTCTATCCAGCCTTTAAAGTGATCTCTGTTCCCTAAGCTTTTGTGTCACTTAAGAATATTCCAAATCATTCAGTATCTACTGAATTACTAATCCTTCCCCCACTTGGGAATGATTTTTTTCCCCTCCTCAACTCTATCTGCATCTTTCATGACACTCAATTCTGGCTACTTTTAGTATAATTCAGTGTGTCCTCAACTCTCTTACTGGATTGTCAGCTTTTAAGGACAGGAATGGAATCTTCTGTTTGTATTCAAAATACCTAGAAGGGTCCAATTCATAGAAAGCTTTCAAATATCTATTCTAAGTGCACACTATTTTACTCCCTGACTGTTTCACATACAGCCTTTTTATTTTTACTCCATCTCCACTAAATGCCTTACTTGTCTAAGGCCACCATCACTCACCAGATTGCCACAAGAGCTTTCTCTGGAACTGTCAGTGTTCTAAACTGCTAATCTGGTCACGTTCTCTTAATTTCTCAACAGCTTCTAGTACCAGTTCCTATTTCCCATTTCATCCAAAAACAACACTTTACCAAGATTTCATCATATCCTTCCATGTATGTTGTAGAATGCCAAAAGCTTCTCTCCAAAAGCTTCACTGTACATATATAGCATGTACAGTGAAGCACATCATTCAATGCTATACCCCTAGTCCATGGTATCTAGTACAGCATCATACTCTAGTTCTCCACAAATAACGACAGCCAGTCTAGAAAATTATTCAGAAATTCATAGCAAAGCATGATATACGATCCGTCAGTTTAAATTATAAATAAAAAGGATCCTAGAGCAAAGTATATATAAATTAACATAGAGGTAAACGCCAAACAAAATTTTTTTTAATTGAGAAAATTGTTAAGTAGCATCCTCAGGGTACACAGACACTTGAATGAAATTGGTGACCACAAAAATTAAAGAGTAAAAAAAATTTTTTTAAGCCAAAAACCAAACCAAACGTAAATCTTCAAGATCAGGTAGATAGCCAGTAAGAGTTTTATCAACTGAAATATTTCTTACTGGCTGTAAGGGCTGAGGCTGTCCTGGTGCAACTATTGTAGTCACCGCTGCAGCTGGCTGTACCACCACTCCTTGTGGGTGAGCTGTGAAAATCTGTTGTCCCTGGATGTACTGAAGACTTGGCTGAGCATAATTCTAAAAGATAAAATAAAGAAATTCATAATTCATACTTTTCTAGCTCTAATAAAGCAGTATTTGACTTTCAAGTTGGCATAAATCTTACTGGAAGATGCATCCATTAATTTTCTCTTTTTACTTTAAGTGTGAAAATTTTGATACAAATGTGTAAAACAATCTTTTGTTTCAAACACTGAAGTTTTTCTTTTTTTAAATAATTCCTCTAGTTACTTACTTACTTTGATTTTACTTTATCATAAAAAAATAGAAAAAAAATTCTTGGAGGAGTGCTCATGAAACTTGTCCAACTGTTTAGCTTTCAATGAGACTTGAGTAACAACTGAAGTGCTCTGCTCCTAGAATATTCAAGAAACAGCTCTATGCAGCTCATTACAGAAAGCCTTTCAACTAACAACTCCTAATATACTAACAGGTTGTTCTGACTGGAAAAGATCAAAGGGAGTGAGTGATACACAGTAAAGGAAGTAAGATCAATTTTTCTTTTTCTTTTTTTTAGCTTTATGTAGTCTTTATAAGACAGCAGAATTCAGTATATCTAAAATCCTTACCACATAATGATTTACACAGTGCCTTATCAAGCAAAAAGCCTTTTCACATATATTAACTCATTTAGTCCTAACCGTCATCAAGGTGGGTGTTTCTTTCTGGAGTTACATAGTAAGTACCACAGCTAGCCAAAACTTAAACCTACTCTGGAATTATTTCTCATCAATAGAAAAACTGCTTTAAGAAGTTACAAAAATCCCTGAAAACAACTTTGTTGTGTTAAGAGGTGATGACTACCAAGGAGCTGAATAGATATGTATCCTGTATTTAAGGACAAATTTTGGCCCTATAAACTGAGATTCTATCAGGTAAAATAATTCATGAGAAGCATTAATTGATAAGCACTCGAAATCCAAAATAAAATAATTCCAAATAATACCAGTAAAGATCCAAGGAGTCTGAATAGGTAAATGCAGTTATCCAGGAGATTTCTGGATGAGTAATTACTGGGAAGATACACAGAAGAGGAAAAATACAATACTTGATTCAGTATTCTGAAACAGCTTAGTCTACACAGGTCATAAACCAAGTCAGTACTAACTGTCAAAGGAGAATTCAGAATAGTATCACAAAGCCTCAGAGAAAAATGTATCCATTAGAAATGCTTTTGTCTCTAGGTATGTGGATACAAGATGGGAAATCTGTGCAACATCAAAAGATTTTACAGAAACAATATTATCTCCTCACCTAACTCTGGTTCCAAAGCCTGAATTTTTTTTTCCCAAAACCACTTTTTAACACTGATGTATACCCACATAATATCGAACCAGAAGTCAGTACCAAAGGAGAATTAGCAACAAAGATGACCAAATAATGTATAAAAAATTAGAAAGCATACTCTAAAAGGTGAAATACAAATAATTCTTGAAGTTCTACTTCAACTTTGATAAAAAAAATAAGCCATAAAACAAAATATATTTAACTGGGTTCTATTCTATGATCACCAATTTATCTAGAAAGTAAGTTTCCAAGGGCCCTGACATGCATAAGAAAGAATCCTGAAAAGTGAATACAAGAGGCAAATTACTGAGCATGTAGGAAGTTATTACATATGTGCTGGTAATCCTGATTCTTAATAGAAACAGTTTCTGGGAGGGTGAAGAAGACAAATGGGTAAATTGGAATATTCCCAACCCACTAAGCTGAGCATCAAATACTACTATGAATCTCAATTTAATTTTTTTCTGACCCCCTCTCCTAGTCTAATCCAGTGGCAAATTCTGTTGGCTCTGCATTATTTATATGTGTGGGTATGTGCATCTATATGTATGAGTGTATAAATGTCTGTATAAAAATAAAACCTGATCATTCCTCACATCTCTACTTCTACTGTGCTAGTATAAATGGCCATATTCTCTTGCTTAGATGATTCAACATTCTTTCAACTGGTTTCCCTACTTTTGCCCTTGACTCCCCCAATCTCTTCACCCAGAACAACCAGAGTGAGCCTCTTAAAATACATCAGATCCTGCTACCCTGCTCTGTTTCAGTGGATTTCCACATTACTCAAGACTAACAGCCAAAATTCTCACGAAGCCCTGACAATGTTCCTCCCCAAGCTTTGACCTCATTTCCCTACTACAGGCAGACCTTGAAGATACTGTGAGTTCAGTTTCAGAACACTGTATTAAAGCAAATATTACAGTAAAAACTGAGTTACATGAATATTTTGTTCCCCAGTGCATATAAAAGTTATGTTTACACTATATGGTAGTCTATTAAGTGTGCAATAGCATTAGGTCTAATAAAACAATGCACATACCTTAATTAAAAAACACTTTGTTGTTAAAAAATGTTAACCATCATCTGAACCTTTAGAAAGTCGTGATCTTTTTGCTGGTCGAGGGTCCTGCCTCAATACTGATGGCTGCTGACTGATTGGGGTGGTTATGGCAATTTCTTAAAATAAGCCAACAATGAAGTCAGCCACAGACAAAGCAAGACATTACTCTTGCTTTCATAGACTATTTCTTTGTACCATTCAATGCTGTTTGATACCACTTTATCTACAATGGAACTGCTTTCAAAATTGGAGTCAATCCTCTCAAAACTGTCTCTGCTTTATCAACTAAATGTATGTAATATTCTAAATCCTTTGATGTCATTTCAACAATCTTCACAGCATCTTTACCAGGAATAGATTCCATCTCAGAAACCACTTTATTTCTTGCTCTTCAGTAAGAACCAACTCCTCATCTGTCCAAATTTCCCTTGAGATTGCAGCTATTCAGTCACATCTTCAGGCCCCACTTCTAATTTTAATTCATTTGCTATTTCTACCATACCTGCAGTTATTTCTTCCACAGAAGCCTTGAATCCCTCAAAGTCATCCATTAGAGTTGGAATCAACTAGACCTGGATAACTTGCTGCAGCTTCTACATCAGCGCTTGCTGCTTCATCTTGTACTTTGTTATGGAAATAGTTTCTTTCCTTCAACCTCATGCTAAACCTCAAATTTTACTCTGCAGCTTCCACACCTCTCTCAGTATTTATAGAATTGAAGAGGGTTAGAGCCTGGCTCTGGATTAGGCTCTGGCTTACAGCAATGTTGTCGCTGGTATGATCTTCTATCCAGACCACTATAACTTTCTCCATATCAGCAATAAGGCTATTTTGCTTTCTTATCATTAGTGTGTTCACTGTAGCAGCACTTTCAATTTCCTTCAGGAATTTTTCCTTTGCATTCAAAATTTGGCTAACTGGTGCCAGAGGCCTAGCTTTTGGCCTGTCTTGCCTTTCAACGTGCCTTCCTCATTAAGCTTTATCATTTCAAAGTTTTGATTTAAAGAGATGTATGATTCTTCCTTTCACTTGAACATTTAGAGGTCACTGTTGGGTTATTAATTAGCCTAATTTTAATATGTTTTGTCTCAGGGAATAGCAGGTCCCGAGAGGGAGAGAGATGGGAGAATGGCCACTCAGTGGAACAGGCAGGGCACACACAACATTTATCAATTAAGCTCACTAGCTTATATATGTTCTCACTTCATGGTACCACAAAACGATTACAATAGTAACATGGAAGATTACTGATCACAGCTCACCATAACAAATGTAATAATAATGAAAAAGTTTGAAATAGTGCAAAAATGATCAATTTGTGACAGAGACATGAAGTAAGCAAATGCTGTTGGAAAAATGGCGCCAACAGACTTACTTAACACACGGTTGCCACAAAATGTCAGTTTGTGAAAAACACAATAAAATGAGGTACGCCTAAACTGTCATCACAACTCATTTGGAGAAGGGAGGGCTTGATACTTATATCACACATTTTGAATAATAAACATTTAATATACTGATTTTGCAAAAAAAATTTGAAAAGCTAGATCAAAATATCAATTGTGAGAATAACTGTCATGTATGAAACATATTATCTTCAGAGTGATCAGGAGGTTAAACATCCAAATCTACAATAGAAAAATGCTAGTATTTTGGAGGTTAAAATTCCTTTGACCCTCAGTGAAACTAATTCATGGAGAATTTATCTGACAAGATCAGACAGTTAAGTAAAGCTCATCATAGAGACACTTTAAAGGATCTGATTAATGTGAAGTAAAGCTGTGGTTTCTTTAGCATGAAAATTCTGGCTACAAATGTTGGCTGTGAATAAACTGAAATGGCATTATCTAGCTTGATCTTTCCCTGTATTTAACAGATAAGGCTTCAGACAAATTTTTACCTGTTTCTAAAATGCAAAGATACATTTAAAGGATAACAATTTATTACCAGGAAGGAATATAACACACATTGAAAATAATTCCCAAAGAAAATGCTGAAAACATCTGAACCATATCACTGCCAGCAAAACAAAACAAGAACCCCCCAAAACACCAGAGATTATAATACTCATTTGGAGACAGAGATTTTGAAACTCAAACTGTCAAAAAGCAAAAGGAAAACGAACATTTTTCAGGGTTCTATAGTACCTACCCAAACCAGCTGACAATCACATGCCAAAGCCAAAATCAATAACTATGAAAAGGGGAAACTGGTTTGCAGTCCCACTGAAATAATACGAAAGATGTACACATTTGTGAGATATATCCAAATAGTAGGGGCTTATCAAATCTATCCATTTGCTGGAGGAAAATCTGTTGGAGATTGGCTCTACCCTTCAAGGAACTTGAAATGACACAAATGCTAATTTCTTAAACATAAATCCAGTCTAGAAATATACATATATTTTTTAAATGAAGGTACTAGGGATTGAACTCAGGACCTTGTGCATGCTAATTAAGCATGCGCTCTACCACTGAGCTATACCCACACCCCCTAGAAGTATTTTTAAAATATGACTTCTAATGAAAATTATAAGAGAAACCTGAGAACGTCCAATTTGTTATAGAGGAGAAAACGAAATTGTTCTGCTCCCACTTCTAAAAGGAAAAAAATAGCTATTACTTTATATCTGAGTCAATTTTACTCATGTGAAAAATTATAGTCTAAGTCTATAGTCTAAAAAATCATTTTTTTGAGATTTAATTTAGTATAACTTCTTAAGAATAGGTCATGCATTAAAAATCACAAGACCACCATAAATCATATGGCCTCATTGAGCTTTTATGTTTAATAAGCAGTAGTGGCAAAAAATGAAAGTCACCTTCTGATAACACATATGCTCCAATGTCAAAGATACTTACTGCATGTGTACACACACACACAAATTTATATTATACCATATCACATACTATTTCACTGTCAAGGTTATCATAACTTGCAAACTCAGCCCATGCTGTATGGTTAATACAAGATTTGAACAACACAGTCCTCAAGGTTGACTCCAGGAGATTAGTTACATGGGCCAGACACCAGACAGATGACCTTGACCAGCTGTAATTCACAGCCCAATAATGTCAATACTCTCAGTATTAAGGTAACTGTATGAGTAACAACTATAACTAAACCTTCAAGGTATATAGTGTTTAAACTTATCATTGTTGATATCCATTATCTCATACAAACCTCAACAACTCTGAGTCATTCTGCTCATTTTATAGATGAGAAAACTAAAACTGAAGAATCTAAGTGCCTGCCTCCAGGATACACAGTAAATGATGGACTAGGACTCAGAATACACACACTAACAACAAGCTCCACGATTCTCATTACCCAGAGTCCAACATCTCTGATCAAGTAATCTCATAATGAAGGGAAGGATAGTGTGAACCATCCTCCATTTATCAACTACTTCAGCACAAAAAAAAGCAGATAAGGGAGTCAATAAATGAGTCCTTGGTAGGAACAGACTGAAAACTGGAAGTAAAACTGTAATGAGTCTTAAGGCGATGATCAAACCCTAGAGAAATCTGCTCACTGGGATGGAAAAAATGGATTCTATTTCAGAAGAACAATCATATGACCTGTGAGCTCTCTACTACAGAGTCTAATTCTGTAGGAGGCAGAATTAAGCATACCAAACAAAAACAACAAAACCAACAACAAAAAACACTAAGAAAATTGATACCCAGTGACCAATAATGCCTATTTTCTTACTAACCTTATTTAGCACTGTAACAAATGTATATGTGTATGTATGTACACACACATACACACACACACACAGAGTGATTTAGAAAAATGGTTAAGAATCATGTTACACTGAAAAATATAAAACTTCTAAGTCTTCGAGACTGCAAACACATAAAATACACAGACGTGGTTAAAGAGGTCATAAAAAATGAAAGCAGTTAATACAGTTAAGGTTTTCAGAATTAAAGCAAGACACTTTAAAAGAGGGGGGAAAAAGCAGGACAGTTTGTCAGGGCCTTTTGAATAAAATTTTGATACAGCTTCATCACAAAAATACTAACAAAAGTAAAAATTATATTCCGTTACTTCAATACTAAGTAATATGTACAGGAAACATCTCTGGGCATCTGTGCCATCCACAATAATTCACCTTTAAGGAATGATGTCGAATGATGGGAGACACATAGGAATGTGGTAAGGATGATGCCTTATATATTCTTCTTCTTCTTTTTTTTTAAGCTTAATGTGTTGGTTTTATTAAAGAAAAAAAGAAAAGAAACTTGATTAAAAAACCACAAAAAAACACTACCATGGAGGAGGATATGGCTCAAGTGATAGAGTGCATGCCTAGCATGCACAAGGTCCTGGGTTCAATCCCCAGTACCTCCTCTAAAAATAAATAAATAGATGAAACTAAAAACACTTCCACAAGTTATTCTCTCTTTCCCTAATCACTGGTTTTGGGAGAAGCCAGCTGGCATGTTGTAGGCAGCCCTACTGAGTGGTAAGGAACAAGGAATCGAGGCCAGTTAACCACTATGTGAGCGAACATGAAAGTTAATCTTCCATTCTCTGCCTAGCCTTCAGATAACTACAAACCACAGTAACAGCTTGACTATAATTTCATAAAAGACTCTGAGCCAGAACCACCCAGCCAAACTGCTTCTGAATTCCTGACCCACGGAAACTATGAAATAATAATCACTGATATATAAATTTGTGACACAATAGATAACTAGTATATATAAAATTAATCAATATGTAGAAATGATCAATGGCAGGACTTCCCCCTTGCATTAGGTTTAACATCCCATAAACAGACAAGAGAATTTCCAAAATCAGTTACCTGTACAATTGGTGGAGTTGTCTGTGAATAGGGTGATGTCACACCATAGACAGTTGGACAAGTCTGTCCTTGATAGTATATGGTTGCTTGAGACTGTGCAGGAGAGTACTGTTGCTGTACACTGACAGACTGTTGGTTTGAATCCCAAACACCATAATTCTGTCCCTGGACTGGGCCTGGGGCTGGCACTGGCAAGACGGTGACACTGGAGTCTTGGTGTACCACACCATCACTTTGGGCCACATACTGTGAACTGGAAACTTCCACGGGGGCTGCCACATGTGGCACCACTGGCACAGGTGGAGGGGCAGCAAGGGGTTCTGTAGAATGTCCCACCAATGGCTGAGAATGATCATAAGGAGCAGGAGAACACACAGGATCCATGCTGGGTGTGGGGAGAAGCACCTTTCCAGCATTAGGATTGCTGGGATCCACATAGGCCTGCATGGGATAACCTGGTGGGTAGCCAGCAAAGGGGTGATGAGGGGCATTGTAGCCAAGAGAGTCATAGGGCAGTGGAGATGTCATTCCCAGGTTCTGCATCTGCTGCTGTTGTTTCTGAGCCTCCCGCTGAGCTACCTCTTGCTCAAACAACTTTCGACGCTCCTCTGTAGAAAGCTTATTGCGGTCTTTAATTCGTACTTTCTTTTTAGAAGTTGGTGTATCATATCTAGAAAGAAAATAATAAGAGCACCACAAAAAGTTTTTCCCTATATCATAGACATAGTCAAAGCACTAATAAATGTTATGTCACTCAATACTAAATCACTAATCACACCAACTCCAATTTGGCACTGGCCAAAAATCATACTCAAAATTACCTAAGGAGTTTTGCAGACAGGAGAGAACACCAAGGAAATAAGACACTCACATGAATATAACAACTTCACTCTTATTCTCACATTTTAGAACTTCAAATTAAAGATATGTGTAGTATCTGAAACAGATTGTCCTTTATAGTTAAGTTCTGTAATTCTGTAACTACAAATCCTGAAAGTAAAACAAAAGCCAAAATATACTAATAAAAGCTACAGAATGATGGATGTCTGACCACACATATTTATAATAAATATCAACAAAGGTTAGTTAAGTGAAAGATACGCATGTACACATTGAAGTACAGGGCGTTATATTCACATATTCTCCTTTGTGCGATACCAAGTATAATATCTTACTGCTAAGCCTAATACCCTGTGATAGTTTTGACACATATCCCCAGTAGGTCCCCAAGAAATCATCAGCTCTAACATTCACAAGAAGAAAACAGAGGACTTAAAAGATTCTTTTGTAAAGTTCTATAAACTGAATCAAACTTCTGAGAAAGTGCTCTTGGCAAAAATAAGAAATGACAACTAATTTCAAGATGTTTCATTGCAAAGAAATAACAGCTACACAAATAAGGGTACAACATTTATCCAAAGAACAAAAAAATACATGGTCTAAAATTCTCTAAGCTGAAATTTTCTTTAAAGTGTTAGTAGGTGGTAGTACTCTTTCCTGCCTGGCAGAAACAAACGCAAATAGTCTATAGAAGACAGCACCTTAAATCCAGGCCTCAATGAATTCCCATAGATAAGGTTTTTAAGTTCATTAGAAAATAAAATTAGTCCTATTTGCAACATGGATGGACCTAGAGGATATTATGCTAAGTGAAATAAGTAAGACAGAGAAAGACAAATACTGTATGATTTATTTTGTATGCGGAATCAAAAAACAAAATAAATGAACAAACAAAACAGAAACAGAGTTATAGATACAGGGAACAAGTGGCTGCCAGAGGGGTTGGGGTGTGGTATGTGAGAAAAAAACAGGTGAGGGAGATTAAGAGGTACAAACTTCCAGTTGCAAAATAAATGAATCATAGGGTATGAAACGTACAGTGTGGGGAATACAGTCAAAACTTATATAATATCGTTGTAAGGTGATATATCATAACTAGACTTACTGTGGTGATCATTTTGGAATGTATAGAAATACTGGATCACTGTATGCTGTGTAACACGAACTAACACAGTGTTGTAGGTCAGTTACACTTCAAAAGCAAACAAACGCATAGAAGATAAGATAATTACTACAAATATAAAGTACATGATAAATACAATGAACACTGCTGTATTTTATATATAAAAGTTGTTAAGAGAGTAAATCCTGAGTTCTCATCACAAGGAAAAATATTTTTCCTGTTTCTATAATTTTGTACCTATATGAAATGATAGATGTTCACTAAACTTATTTTGACGATTTCACAATGTTAAGTCAAATCATTATGCTGTATACTTTAAACTTACACAGTGCTGTATATCAATTACATCTCGATAAAACTGAAAAATAAAAATAATGTATTTTACATAATGATAAAATTATATACACACATAAGTGAGTGAAAAAGACCTTCAAAGACTGCTGATCCTGGAATTATCCAACCCAAAATATTAGAGATGTTCAATATGTTTAACAAGAGGCTATCAAAAATATGCATAAGGAACAGGACAATAAAATATTATCAGGCAGATTTGAAAAAGAATCCCATGAAGTGTCTAGAAAGGAAGAAGGATGGAAACTAAAACTCAATTATCATACAAAACTGAAATTGCACATACCTGACAACTCAGCAATTCTACTCAAATACCCAAGAGAAACTTTTGCACACATACATCAAAATAAGAAATAGCAATATACAGAATAGAAAAAGCTTTATAACAAAATATACAGCAAAAATGAATGAACTACGATGAATAAATCTTAGTAATATAGTACCAAGTAAAAAAAAAGTACCCTCAAATTAAGAGCAAAATAGTAGCTTTTTCATGAAGTTGAAACTAATATATTTTAAAGAAATATGTATTAGATAACATAAAACTGTATTTTAAAAAGGCAGGCCAGGGTATAATGAACACAGGATGCAAGTTGGTGTTATCCCAAGTAGTAAATACAGGGGATTATATAGGAAGAAGTTACACAGCTAGATTTATATGATTGTTAATTAAGATCTTAATTTTTATTCTGGGACCTCCAGGGCTCATTACATTATAATAAATATGTGGTGAAGAGATCCATGTATAGAAATGCTAAGTGCCATGAACCAAGAAATAACCTAATATCCAATTCAATTTAATTCCCCTAAGATTCATGGTGTGGTTAATCAAGAGATTAGATCTGAAGACAATTAGTAACTTGGAAGATGATCTTCAAATTCAAAATAATCAATGATAAGGAATCTGGTCAAGATGGTGGAGTAGTAGGACCATGAGCTCACCTCTCCTTGCAACTACAAACCTACATCTGACTGCTAAACAACTATCATAAAAAAAGACTGGAACCTAGCAAAAAAGATCTTCTTTAACTGGAAACATAAAGAGGGAACCACAGCGGGATGGTAGGAGGGGGCCCTGAGTGGGCCACCCATAAGCTGAAGAATAATTAGGTCGTAGAGGCCCTCCCACAGGAATGAGAGTTCTGAGCTGCAGAACTCAGGCTCCCCAGTCCAGGGTTCTGACATTGGGAGGAGGAGACTTCAGAACATCTGGTTTTGAAGGCCAGTGGGGCTGAACTCCAGGAGCCCCACAGGACTGGGAGAAACAGAGACTTCACTCTCTTGGTAAGCATACACAGAATCTCACTCATACTGGGTCCAAGGGCAGACACTGATTTCACAGGAACCTGGGCCAGACCTGCCTGCTGGTTTTGGAAGGTCTCTAGGGGAGGTAAGGGGTGGCTGTGGCTCACCCTAGGGACATAAAAGCTGAGGGAGTGTTCATCTACATGAGCTTTCCTGGAGACTGACATCTTCCTTGGGTCATTAGCACCAAGACCTAGCCCCGCCCAACAGCCTATATAGGCTTAAGTGATGGGATGCCTCAGGCCAAAAACATGCTGGGTGGGAACACAGCCCCACCCATTAGCAGACTTCCTGAGCCACAACAACCTCTAGATATCCCCTAGACATGGCCTTAGCCACCAGAGGATCAAGACCAAGCTCCACCCAGCAGTGGGCAGGCACCTCCTGCCAGGAAACCTGCATAAGCCTCTAGTCCAGCCTCATCCACCCAGGGGGCTGATACCAGAAGTAAGAAAACAAAAATCCAGAAAACACAGGCCAGACTCTACCCTGGGACCAGCTGGATCCTGGTCCTTGGGTGACAAGAGAGGAGCATACTGCTGGGATGCATAGGATGTCTCCCACAGACGGCTACTTCTCCAAAGTCGAGAAACATAACTAACCTACCTAAAAATACAAATAGAAATCTAGACAACATAAGGTGGCAGAAGAACATCTTCCAGGCCAAGGCACAAGATAAAATTCCTGAAGAAATAAGTGATGAGGAGATAGGCAATCTATACAAGAAAGAGTTTAGAGTAATGATGATGAAGGTGTTAAGAGAACTCAGGAGTACAGATGCGTAAGAGGAAGTTTTTAGCAAAGAGTTAGAAAGTATACAGAATACCCAGAGTTGAAGAATACAATTACTGAAAATAATTACATTCTAGAAAGAATCAAGAATAGACCAAATGAGGCAGAAGAATGGATCGATGAGCTAGAACACAGATTAGTGGAAATCACCACTGCAGAAGAGAAAAAAGAAAAAGAATGAAAAGAAATGAGGATAGTTTAAGAGAACTCTGGGATAACACAAAAGGCTTAAATATTCACATTATAGAGATCCCAGAAAGAGAAGAGAGAGAGAAAGGACGTGAGAAAATATCTGAAGAGATAACAACTGAAAACTTCCCTAACTTGGGAATAGAAATAGTCACCCAAGTCCAGAAAGCACAGAGAGTTCCACACAGGATCAACTCAAAGAGGAACACAGTGAGGCACACAGAAATGAAATTGACAATAATTAAGGACAAGGAGAAAATATTAAAATTAAGCAAGAGAACAGTAACAAAATAAACGTAACAAAGGG